CCTGCCCGGCGCACTGCGGCTGCCAGCACTTCGGGAACCAGTCAGGCCAGTGCTGCCCCTCAGGGTGTTGGGGTCTCTTCCCAGCTGCTGTACTCTAGGGCCTGCAGGGCCTCACTGCCCAGGCTCGTCTGGAAATTTATTTTTATTTACTTGTGTATTTATTTGAGACAGAGTCTTACTCTATCACCCAGGCTGGAGTACAGTGGTGATATCTCTGCTCACTGCAACCTCCACCTCCCAGGTTCAAGGGATTCTTCTGCCTCAGCCTCCCAAGTAGCTGGGATTACCGGCTCCTGCCACCACACCCGGCTAATTTCTTTGTATTTTTAGTAGAGGTGCGATTTCGCCATATTGGTAGGCTGGTCTCAAACTCCTGATCTCAAGTTATTCGCCTGCCTAGGCCTCCTAAAATGCTGGGATTACAAGTGTGAGCCACCACGCCCGGTCCCATCTGGGAATTCGGGTCCGAGCCCAGGGAGTGGGTGCCACAGCCCACAGTGGGCTGTGCTGCAAGAATGAGTGAATGGCCAGGCCAGGGTCTCCGCACAAGACACGGAGGCAGCTCCCAGCTGCTCTGTGCTCCTGAGTGGGCTGAAGGCCAGGATGGTAGAACGGGGCGGGTGGGCACAGAGTGTGGCTCTTGGGGACAGGGACGATCACAGCAGTGGAGAGGAAAGAACGAAACAAATTCATTTCCAAGAAACTGTCAGGCCAGGGCCTCTGCCCTGCCACTCTGGAGGGCGGGAGGGTGAGGTGAACAGCAGGGTGGAAAACAGTCAAGTGCTGGGTGGGGTGAGGCCGGGAGGCAGAGCTGGGCAGAGGGAGAGTCACCCTGCTGCAAGGGAAGTGGGGGCAGGTGCCAGGGCACGTCCTCTCCAGTGTGTCCCGTGTCCCCCCAGACGATGGTGACAGAGCAGGCCGCCCAGGGTTCCAGTGCTCCTGATCTGCGTGTGCAGTATCTCCGCCAGATCCACGCCAACCACGAGGTGAGCACCTGGCCCAGGCAGTCTCCCCACCTGGGTAGCCGGGAGCGCCCCTCACCAGGCCCCCATTCAGTCACCTGGGGTCTGTGAAGTTCTCACAGCACATGAGTGTGGCTCCCACGGGCCAGGGGCAGAGTTGAATGGTCACGGCTGTTTCCTGCCCCTCATCATACCTGAGGGCCGGTGTCTAGGCCAGGCTGCGTGTCCCATGTTTGAAGGTTCTTCCTCGAACCACCTGCCGCTTCCCGAGTATGGTCCTGAAGTGGTGGGTCCCCCAGAGGCACCAGTGACGTCCCCAGGGCCAGGTGGGGCCTGAGCTGCGGCTGTTCCACTGCAGACATTGCTGCGGGAGGTGCAGACCCTGCGTGACCGGCTCTGTACGGAGGATGAGGCCAGCTCCTGTGCCACCGCCCAGAGGCTGCTGCAGGTGTACCGGCAGCTGCGACACCCCAGCCTTGTCCTGCTGTGACCCCGCGGGGCTGCCCTGGCCACGGCTCTGGCTGCAATTCCAGACTCTGTAACAGCCCCCCGGGCCTCAGTGGTTTTCGAGGAAAGCCGAGTGGGCCTGGCCAGAGCTGTGGAAGGTCGGGGAAGGTGTGACCTGGCTCCGGAGGAGAGCAGGGAAGTACTTGGAGGCCGTGGAATGCAAAGCAGATCCGGACTGGGAGCTACCGAGGCGGGCTGTGAACCTGGCGGGTCCAGCTTCGCATCCTCTGCTGGTGGCTCCTCTCCTGACTGTGGCCTCTGCACTCGCCTTCCTCCTGGCCGGCCGCCTTCCTGCCGCAGCAGCCCCTGGGCCAGGAGGTGATGGGGACATTCTGGACCCAAGCACCAGAAAAATAGGTTTCTGGGGTATGGACTGGGGTCGGTTTGTGACTCGCTGCCACTCCACCAGGAGCACCACTGCCCCTCTGGGTGGCACTGTCAGGCACCCATGGTACCCTTGTCACACTGTCCACACCTGCCTGGCTGCCCACTCTGGGACCCTGAGGTGGGAGGGTGCTCCCTGAAACCAAAGCACAAAGCACCACGCAGGCAGCTCCTGTAAGTGCCCATGGCTCCAAGCCACAAGGAAGGGCCACTGGGTGGCCTGTGGCCGGAACGCTTAACAATGAGGGGCCTCCGGCCGGGCTGCACCCAGCACTGTGCACTATTTTCAGGGCCACTCAGGGTGGGGCTGTGGCCTGGGGCGCCCTGAGCTCTAGCCCCCAGCCTCCTCCCTCAGCCTGGGCTACTGCCCGGCTCCTGGTGCTGGCGTTTTCATCGGAGGGGGGGGCCTCATCCTTCCTCCTGTGGGTGCTCGCGCCCCTCCTACCCTAGGCACTGTCCGATGAGTGTGGGTGGGAGCCGTGAGGCGCTTCTCTGCTGTGACAAATGACCCTGTCTGTGAAACTTCAGGCCTCTGCTGGTTTCTTTAACCCCTTCCCACCCTCTCTCTGGGGTCCCTTCAGAGCTGTGGCACTTCTTGGAGCCCCCAGCACTGGGGTGGCCTCCAGGGAAGAAGCGTTCTCTGTGACCCAGTCACCTTCAAGGAGGCCTGGGGCACTGCCTGGCTGCTCCTGCCTTCCTCTCCGAGGAGTGGGACGTGGCAGGAGTGACAGGTCCACAGTCAGCTTCTGGGTGAGCCTGTGGACCATGCTGTGGCCGGCCCTATTGCCCATCCTGGGCCTCCCCACCCTTACCTCCTCAGTGCACACCTGGGCCCTCGTCGACAAGCTCTCCCTATGTGAGGCCCTTCCCCGGTGCCTATGAGGTGCTGCCAGTCAGGGTTTGTCACCCTCCGGGCTGACATCCAGGAAGCAGGCTCAGCTGGTGACACTCGTAACCCAGCCCTGCGGCAGCATATGCTCCTAAGGAGGGCCTGCCCCTCTTAGCATCCTGCCGTGCTCCAGGGCCATCCTCTGCCACTCCGGGCAGGTGCCTCTGGCTCTGAGCTTTGTCCCGTGCTGGTGCCCGTGTCTTGTTCTGAGCATCAGGGAGAGTGAGGGGGCTAGACCAGCCCGTGAATTCTCCTGAACAGGCCCTGGGTGAGTGGACAGGACTGTGCAGGGCCTGTGTCCACCTGCCTGGGGGAGGGGGATCTGTCTGGGACTGTGCCAGCCCTCCACTCACCTTCACAGGCCACAGGGATCCTAGAGCTGACAGATCTGGGTCCCCTGCAGGACTCACCTCCCCACCCCCAGCCGGATGCCAGCAGGTCTCAGGAGGCTGGGAGCCTGCGGAGCCTTCCACGGGGCTGCCGCCTGTCCAGAGTGTCACTGTCCACCCCTGTCAGTCTCAGCCGTGCAGGGGGTGTGGGGGCACCACTGTGGCTCATGAAAGAGCAGACACCAGGAGAGCCACAGGGGTGCAGGTTGCTGTCCTTGGCACTGCAGGCTCCTGACCTGAGGCAGTGCTGGCCACCAGGTCTGAGACGGCGTCCCCAGCATGCTCCAGGGTCGCCCTTGAAGAGGCCTCGGCACTCGTGTGTTTAAAAATGTTCATGCCCGCCTGCCGGCCTCACATCCTGCTGTGTGAGCCTGGTTCAAGTGCCATGTAGTCGCCCCGAAAAAGCTGTAGCACAGACCCTGATGGGGCCAAGGGGACAGGTCACGTGGAAAAACAAAAAGGACATCTGCAGAGGCAGGGAGGGGACCCAGTGGGCGGCTGCCGGAGCGTGCAGGACTGTGCGGTGCCTCCAGCTCACGGGCGCCTCCCGGGGACCTGCTGTCAGCACTGGGCATTCAGAGAGTGCTTGGCCTCAGGCAGGTGGCAGGTCCACAGTCAGCTGCTCGGTGAGCCTGTGGACCATGCTGTGGCCGGCCCTGCTGCCCATCCTGGGCCTCCTCGCCCTCACCTGCTCAGTGCACACCTGGGCCCTTGTCACCGCGCTCTCCCTATGTGAGGCCCTTCCCTGCTGCCAGGGGTGGCCTCTCAACCTTTTGGGCTTTCTCCACCTGCTCCAGCTCAGATCCTGGCTTAACACCGTAGCCTTGCATGACTCAGCCCAGCTCACACGTGGGGTGGGAGCAGCTCTTCCTCATCCTCCTCTCGGGCACCCACTAGGCGCCACCTGGCAACCGTGTCTGCGCAGAGCACCACCTCCCTCAGCAGCAGCAGTGGGGCCCACCCTTCCAGGCCTGGCCATTATGCCCTGTTCAAAAGGGTTTCTTTCGCCTCCTACCCCACCCTCCACAAGCTAGCCTCTGCTTCCAGCCTTGCCCCAGGCTGTGGATGTGGATGGAAGTGGGGTCCCCACAGTGGTAGGCCAAGTCAGGCAGGGTGGTACTGGGAGACCCTGTCCAAGGCTCTGCTGAGGTGAGAGCCTGGAGGTGCTGAGTGCCAGCCACTGTGGTTCCACCTGGTGCCCCCAGCCCTCCTGCCCCAGCCTTGGCTGCCACCAGGGAACACTGTAGGCACCACACCGGGAACAACCGTAGCTCTAGGGCTACTGCTTGGACCAGGTGGCGCCTGGTCCTCCAAGGGTTAACTCGGACCCGCCTTGCCCACGTGGTTGCGACAGTTCCGGCCCCTTCCCACTGAACCCTGCCCTTCTTTGTCCCTAAGGCCGGTGGGCTTGGGGGAGGGGCATCCCAGCCGGTTCCTCCTCTTGCTGTGGGTGCCACCTCCCCAGGATTGGCTCCCCGCCACCCTCTGCCACTGACTTGGCCTTGAGCAGCGTGCAAGGAAGGAAGGGATCACCGACGGCGCTGCCAGGGGCTAGGGAGGGTTGAGGGCCCGGGCCGGGGAGGCGTGGTGTCGTGAGATCACCTGTGGTCTGTGCAGGTGGCTTCACCCCACCCACCCTCAGCCTCCATGCTCCCCAGGTCCTCGAGACCTCCCCTCCCTCCCCACCTCCACCGGCTTGGGTCACCCCGCCCGCCCACGAGGCCACCTCCTGGGCCGCAGTCCTTGGGCACGGGGAGGTTCTGGGTGCTCTGGGGAGAACGGCGGGCCCCTCCACTCCCAGCCGCAGCCCCCCCCGCGGCGCCCCGGAGCCCACGCGCAGCTGCGGGACGGACCCGCTGTGATGCGCGGCCTCAGTACTCCCAGAGCGCGGGCCCGGCCGGGGCGTCCGCGTCGGCGCGCAACAGGCCCGAGGCGCCGCCGCGCAGGTACTTGCCGCTCCGGGCGCGGATGGCCAGGCGGCCGCGCTCGCGGAACTCGAAGAGGAAATCCTCGGGGCGCTCGCCGTCGCTGCACACGCTGCCGTGGCTGCCGGTGTACCAGAACCCGCCGCCGCGGCCTGCGGGAGGGCACGGCGTCGGCGCGGTGTCCCCCTGCCCGTCGCCACCCGTGCCTCGCGCCCGCCGGGCCCGCCGCGCACCTCGAATCTGGTACGCGCCGTCGCTGAAGCTCAGGCGGAAGACGTCGTAGACCGAGCGGTTGGTGTCCAGCTGGTTGGAGCCGCGGCGGTGGCAGACGAAGCCGTCCAGGCCGCGCAGCACCAGGATGGGCCGGTTGATGAGCTTGAGGGTGAACTCCTCGTCCTTGCCTGGCGGGGAGAGCGTCTGCTGCGCCGCCCCTCCTGTCACCCTCCCCGTCCGGGCCGGGCGAGGTGGGCCCCTGGGAAGCACCACCCCCAGATCTGGGGGCCCAGACCTGGCACTGCCTGATGTGCGGCCTTGGCAAGGTAGCTAGGGGGTTCCCGAATGTGCAGTGGAGATAAGGAGACTCCCATGAGGACACTCAGACCTAACTGTTTCCCTTGCCAAGATGGATTCTGTGGACCAGCAAGTGTGACTGCCACGGCAGCAGCTGTTCCGTGGGCTGGGGAGGGTCCAGCTCTTGGTGGAGGTGGGGTTTCCGGCAGATGCTGTCCCTGGGTGGAGACAGCCCCTGCCCCACTCCCTGGCAGGCAGAGTGCTCACCCACAAAGTCGCTGATGGCCGCCAGCTGCCCATTCTTCTTCATGCACACATAGCGCCCATTGCTGGCTTTGAGTGCCACTCGCCGGCCACGCCACTCCAGCTCAAACATGGTGTCAGGGGAACTGGAGGGAGCAGCGAAAGGTCTCAGGGCAGCAGGAGATGGGGGTGCAGGGTCTCACTTCCCCATCCTCCTCAGGTTCCAAGGACTGGGACAGGAGCCTGCCCTCCACTGGCACATCTACCACCATCAGGAGCTACCACCCCCAGTGGCTTTTCCTCCCTGACTGAGCTGCTATGGAGGTCATCTCTGAGGCAGTGATGGTGGTGGAAGTTACGGGAATGGGGATGGGGATGGGGATGGGGATGGGGATGAAGGTGGTGATGGGGATGGTAGTGATAAGGATGGCGGTGGGGATGGTGATGGGGATGGTGGGGATGGGGATGGTGGGGATGGTGGGGATGGGGATGGGGATGGGGATGGGGATGGGGATGGGGATGAAGGTGGTGATGGGGATGGTAGTGATAAGGATGGCGGTGGGGATGGTGATGGGGATGGTGGGGATGGTGGGGATGGTGGGGATGGTGGGGATGGGGATGGGGATCATGGGGATGGGGATAGGGATGAAGATGGGGATGGGGATGCGGATGGGGATCATGGGGATGCGGATGAAGATGGGGATGGAAATGGTGGGGATGGGGATGTGAATGGTGCTGACCCAGGTGTTGGGGGTGGTGATGGTGGTAATGGGGATGGTGGAGGAGGGAGGGGTGTGTGCACTCACACTTCTGTGGCTGTGGCCTCAATGCCCCCATGGGTGACCAGGGTCCAGTAACCCCCAGTGCTGGAATAGAAGGTGCACTTCTTTGTCTCCTGGTCAATTTGCATCAGGAAGGTCTCATGGTCTAGTTCTTCATCCTGATTGGCTGAGACGTTGACCCCTGGAGGGAGGAGATGGGGAAGCCCCTCACGCCTCTCCTGAGTAGGGAGCAGGGGACCGGGAGGCATGCTTTTGGGGGCACCCTTGAAGCCAGAAGGGGATCTCATCTAGAACCCGCTTGATTTGAGAAGATTTGGAAGGCACCTCTCGGAGAGCCTGGGAACCCTGCCCTGGGGCCATATGTGCCATCTGTGGACCCTGCACACTGTCCCCAAGGGAGTCATGACCTCCCTCCACACCCCCAGGATTCAGGCCCTTCTACTTGGCACAGCCCCCACTCTCTGCTAATCAGTAATCAGCTGCTAATCTGCTCTCTTGAGCCAAGGCTTACACCAGCCTCTATTTATAACTCACCCTAAGCTGCTGGGTGGGCACAGCCAGGACCTAATGATGGGGATGGTGAGGATGGGGATGGGAATAGGGCATCCATGGGCACCAGGCAGGAGCTGGTCCCTCTTACTTCTGCAGCTTCCCCAACCACCTATGCTTGGTCTCTAGGAGCTATGGGGGAGGATAAGACTGCCCCTGCCTCCATCTGGGGTCCCTGCGAGGGGATGGAGGGACACTCATGCCCAGTGTGGGGACAGCAGGCACCAGAGCCTCTCCAGCATCTTCTGTGAACTGAGTCCCTGGCTCCTCCCACAAACCACTTCCCTGTTTCCATGGCAACCAGCCCTGGGTGGTGTGGCAGATTGCAGAGCCCCCCAAGAGGCCCAGGGACTCTGGCGGCCTGTCCAGCTGGGGGACCAGGAGGGAGTGGTGGGCAGAGCCCCATGGGGCCTGAAGATGGGGCCAGATCCCACCGCACGCTGTCCCGAAGGGAGGAGAGCGCCAGGCTGTGGCTAACCTAGGGAAGCTAGCACCTGTTGCCTTCTGCCAACTCCAAGGCTTGCCCCTCATGCCCCAGGCTGGGGTCTCCATCACACCCTTCACTGACCAGATGCAGAGGAGCAGCCAGCATGTCCCCCAAATCGTGGCCCAGCATTCATGCTAGCGTCCCCACTACCACCAGCTCTAGATCCTGGCAAATACTGAGCTAAGAGCAGCTGCCACATCCCTGGAGCCTGCCTAGGCCCAGTGGAGGGGAACACGGACACGGTGCCCAGGGCAGCAGGAGCCCTCAGAGGAGGCGCCCATGAGGGGCGTGGCAGTGCCGTCCCTGCGGGCACTGAAGGAAAAGCAGGTGTGAAGCCACAGCATCGCAGGGCTCCCGCCGCCACGGGGCCTCCTCGGCCAGCACTTTGGTTCCCCAGGGTTGCCCCACACCTCCTTCAGACAGGATGCTGTCCAGGGCTGACTCACTCCGCCATCTGCATCCAGGGACACCGCCTCAAAGTAGGAGAGAGCCGGAGTCCGCGTTGGTCCAGGCAACGCCGGTTTTAGGCCCCTCCAAAGAGGCTAGTTGAGCAGCTGGGGGACCCTCAGTTCTGGCCAATGAGCATGAAGCAATGTCTACTAGGATTTAGGGGAGAAGTTTCCTACTCCTGAGAAGACACAAGCAGAGCCAGTGCCTCTTTTTTCTCTGGACTTTGTCCTGCCTGGATGTAAGGCCTGGAACACCAGCAGCCACATTATGACCGCGAGGGTGTCAGGCTGAGGTCAGAGCTGACCCTGGAGGGTGGTTTGGCCACAAGGTGAGAACAGAGGACTCCGGGGAAGCCCTGAGCTGGCGCTGGTGGCCGCCTGGGAGCCCACCAAGGCCAGGGCCTCTGCACTCCATTTTAGATGATCGGTGTCACAGCTTGAGCCAGTCTGTGGCCAGTTTTCTGTTACCGGCAGCATCAGACTCTGCCTGCTGTGCTGTCTGTCAGCAGAAATGAGCAGGCTCCAGCTGATGGAGACACCGCGCAAGCTGGGTGCTCACAGCCCTCTGGGGAAGAGGCTCAGGGGCCACCCAGCCAGGGAGACGCCTCCATGAAGGCCCACTGGGCAGTAGCGGTGCTGGGGCAGTACCCACACTGTGGCTGCCTCGCCTGGGAATTCCAGCCCCAGGACTGAGATGCCACAGCCCGCTCCCACAACACCGGCCGCCAAGCGAGGGCCTGAAACACCTGGTGGCCAGGTCATGGCCCTCAGCCCGGTTGCAAGGCAGAGAGGGAGGTGACTGGCTGTCATTTCCTGCTTCTAAAGTGGGAGATGGGAGCTGGTCTTTAGTAGGGGATTCTCCCCTCAAAGGGACAACAGGGGCAGATGCAGGGTGGTTGAAGATTAAGAGACTCAAGAGTGGTCCACACAGCCCCCAACCCTCCACCACCACCACCATCGTCATTGCCACTGCCACCACACTGTCCCCATGCCCTCGTGTCCAACTCCACACCACCATCCACGTCACACATCACTGCCACCACACTGTCACCACACCCTCACGTCCAACTCCACACCACTGTCCACGTCACATCTCTGCCACCAATGCCATGGCCACTGCCATGCCCACCGTTCAGGCTTCATCAGAAGCTGTCCACATACGAATGCTTAAAAGTCCAATGTCGGCCGGGCGCGGTGGCTCAAGCCTGTAATCCCAGCACTTTGGGAGGCCGAGGCGGGTGGATCACGAGGTCAAGAGATCGAGACCAACCTGGTCAACATGGTGAAACCCCGTCTCTACTGAAAATACAAAAAATTAGCTGGGCATGGTGGCGCGTGCCTGTAATCCCAGCTACTCAGGAGGCTGAGGCAGGAGAATTGCCTGAGCCCAGGAGGCGGAGGTTGCGGTGAGCCGAGATTGCACCATTGCACTCCAGCCTGGGCAACAAGATCGAAACTGCATCTCAAAAAAAAAAAAAAAAAAAAGTCCAATGTCTTTGGCTTTCATGGAGGAAGAATTCTCACTGCCACTGTCCCACTTACCCCCTTTAACCACCTAAGGATTGCCATGCACCCAGGCCCAGGCCAGCGGGCACTGCAGCTGGGCTGTGGGCTGTGATGGGAAGGAGGGCCATGGCTGGGCATCCACAGTCTAACCCTCACTCCTGGGACCCTGTCACCACTGGGACAGGCCCGAGGACACTGACTGCAGTGGTAGGGCCCCTGAAGCCACAGCCAAGTTCTGCTCTCGGTGCTCAGGGTGGGGCCTCTGCCATCTGGCCCCAGAGTATCAGTGTGTCCAGGGGGCCTGGACTTCCGTCAGGGCGGGGGCTTGGGGGGCACCTGGGAGCTGCCGGGAGATGGGGAGCTCTCTTTGCCCAGCTGGTGCTGGTCTGGAGAGGCCCGAGTCAGGAGAAGGAGTTCCATGCACCCAGCTCTCCCCACCTCGCCTCTTCAGACCAGCTCAGAGCCCCGGGGGTGTGGCCTGCCACTCTGGGGCACATGGAGCCAGGAGCCCAGAGGGCCGTGACTGCCTGGGCCAGGGTCTTCCCCCAGAGCTCAGCCTGCTTGTGGAGAAGGAGGGACTGCTGGGGTTCACCCCACAGGTGGCAGAGGGAGTCACGCGGGGAGGGTACTGGTGACCCGGGAAACGGGGAGGGCCACGCCCACTGAGCAGGGAGGCTCCTCCCCAACAAGGATGAGGCTGTGTGCCCCAGTGTCCTCCAGCACTGGAGCTGACCTGAAGCCCCCTACTCCTGGGGCGACACAAGGCTCCACTAGTCGGGCACGTGGTGGTGCTGTCCCTTCCCTACCACCGGCTCCCCGCCCTGCCCCGGCCCCTCCCAAATTCCTTTAAAGTCCAGAATGTGGGGTGAAGGAAGAGAACGGGAGAAATGGGGCTCCCACAGCCTCCTGCCCACATGCCCCTCGTGGGACGAGGCCTGGCTGTGTGCCCCCTGCCCCTGCTGGGCACTGCCCTGCCGGACCCATACCTCTCCAATCTCAGACTGCGCAGCTGCCCAGGGCTTGGCCGAGACATTCTCCAGCTGTCCTGAGAAAGGCCGGGACGCCTAGCCTCTGACCCTGAAGCCACCACCCCTCAGTGGGGGCCCCCAGGCATGGCCCAAGGCCCACCTGCCTGCACTGTGAGGGCCACACATGTCCCCTCTGACCCCCAGCTCACAACAGACATGGGAACACACATAGACAGGATGCCACTCCTGGAGAGACCCCCACGGCCTCCTCCCTGATGCAAGGGTTCCCAGCAGCCCTCAGGAGGCCACCGTCTGTGCCCCCTTACCTTGGCGCACAGAGACATAGCGGTGGTTGGCAGCCACCAGCACTACCTGCGGGTGACTCTCCTCCAGGTCAAAGAGCTCATCCTTGCCCGGCCGCGTGTTCCGGCCAGCCTTGAGGGTGCCAGCAGGCCCCACGGGTGCCAGGTAGCGGCCGTCGCAGTCCTTGAAGGCCAGCTTGCCCGCCTTGAACTCCAGCGTGTAGCAGGCCCGGGACTCGGGCTCCCAGACCAGGCGGCCGTCGCTGCGCAGGAAGCGGCTATCACAGGTCTTCAGGCAGTACCGCCGGCTCTGGAAGATGAGGGTGAGGAGGGCGTCCACGCCCCAGGGCACGTCGCCATCTGCTGCCACCTCGTCCTCCTGCAGGCACAGGTGCACGTAGCGCCGCCGGCTCACGCTCAGCAGGTGGGCCTGCGGGTGGATGGCCAGATGCACGGTCCACAGCTCCGCCGGGGAGATGGCCGTGGCGAAGCAGGACAGCCGGTCCTCAGTGCCCCCGAAAAAGCGGCCGTGCGGCTCTGACTGCAGCACCCAGCGCCCGTCCGGCTGCGGCAGGACCAGGAAGCGGCAGTCACGGCCCGGCCGCTCCGCCTCGCAGGCCACACGCCCGTCCTCTTCGGCCGACAGGTAGCGGCCCAGGTGGCTGCTGCGGAACAGCACGGCCGTGCCCTGCCCGGGGTCGGGCTCCAGCACCCAGGTCTGCTTCCTCTTGAGGCTGGACGCCGACGCATTGACCTTGAAGCCGAAGCTCTCGGCTGTCAAGTAGCGGTCGGTGTCGTTGAGGAGGCCGAACCGGATCTTCAGCACCTGGTGCAGGCCGTTGGTCGGCATCTTCAGGCTGGCCGGTCCCCGGAGGGGCCTGGGGTGCTGCCCCTGAGTGCTCACGGCCCCCACAGTCCCCCAGAAGCCTGGCTCCGCTCGGCTGGCCCGTGGCCCCCAGACCCAGCGGGCGTCATGGGTCAGATCCGCTGCCTGCTCTGACCTGCCTCTGACCCGCAGCTGCAGCCGCCTGGGCAGCTCTTAGAGGGCCAGTGGGCAGCAGAGGGCGGGCGGGGAGGGCGGATCAGAGACGTGCGGCTTAGGAGCGGCGCCTTTCATTCCCCCCAGCTTGGGTTTCAGCCACTCCCGGATTGCAGAGGGCAGAGCCTGAGGGCCTGCAGGGCTGGGGAGCAGGGTCGACCCCCTTTCCTCACAGCGTGGGCCCGGCGCCCCTCCTCATGGCCCCGCACCTCTTGGCCTCTCTCGTTCCTGCCCACCTCCTCCGAGCCCCGTGTGGGCTCCCGGCCCCGCCGGCCCTTCCCGATGCAGAAGCCGCCCAGCACTGCTGCAACCCGATCGCTGGCCGCAGCCTCAGTGGCCGCCGGGCCCTCTGCTGGATCCAGTTACTTCTCTGACTCCTGCTGCCAGGAGCCGAGCAAGGACCCCACCCGCAGCCTGCAGTCCAGGCCGGCCTCTGGCCATGCTGCTCAGGCCCCAGCATGACGCCCACGGGGCCACTGCCCACTGCGGAGGGTGGAACACAGCGCCTGTGCAGCCCTGCAGAAGTGGGCAGGGTCAGAGGCCTCGGACCGTCCTGGCCCCAGCACTCCTGTGTGCTCTGAGCAGGTCACTGGGCCCTGGGGCTGCTCCTTCCTCTGCTGTGAGCTGGAGTGAAGCCACCTCACCTCACTTCGGGGTCTTTATGGGTACGGATCCAGGAGGCTGATGGGACGATGTCCACCCCATGCTTCCAGCGGTGGCCCTTAGAATCTGCGAGAGGACGAGGCCAGCACGCTGGGAGAGACCGGAAGTGGTCACACCTGTCCCCAGCACCTTCTGCCCTGGATTGCCTGGATGCTCCCCTTCCCCGGAGCCTGAGGGGCACTGGGCCCTGCTCACTGTGCCTGCCCGGCTCCTGCACCTGCCTCAGGGGCTCGGAGCCAAGGAGTGAAACTAGAGCTGCCCACCCTGGGCCAGGGCCAGCCCGGTGTCCTCTTCCTCATAACAGCGGGTGACCCTCGGTCTCCCTGGGGACTGGGAACAGGGGCCACAGTCTTGGCCTGGAGTCACTCCCCTGTCGTCCTGGCCCCCCATCTCCTGAGTGGCCATCACAGGGTCTCCCTATGGCAGGGAACTAGCAAAAAGCAAGGGGCCTGGCCTGGGCCCCTGGAGCCCATGGTGGTGGAGTGTGCACAGACTAGGGCTCCTCCTCCGCCCTCTAAGCCCTGGGCAGCAACCGTGCCAGGCACTTGCAGACATGGTCCCCAGTCCCCACGCTCAGGGGCCGGGGTGGAGGCGGAGAGACTCCCACGTGCAAATACCTGCCATAGCACTCTGCACACCGCCACTCCAGGGGCTGGTCTCACCTCTCCGTGTGCTGGCCTCACCACCTCTGCGATTCACACGCGCTTATGAGGCACCAACTGTGTGCGCAGCCAGGCCCCGTCCTAGGAAGACGCAATCCGGGGTTGTGCCTCCTCTCCAGAGACAATGATCATACACACTCGCCACAGTTTCCAGGGAACTGGGACCCAGGCTTAGCACCCAAGCCAGAAGAGTCTCTGGTTTAGGGGCACAAGCCAGGGGTGCTGCCTGCACCTCAGTTTCCCCTTGGATCTTTTATTTTTTCTTGGAACAGGGTCTCGTGCTGTCGCCCAGGCTGGAGTCCAGTGGCACAATCTTGGCTCACTGCAACCTTTGCCTCCTGAGCTCAGGCGGTCCTCCTGCCTCAGCCTCCCAAGCAGCGGGGACTACAGGCACTTGCCAACACGCCCAGTTCATGTTTGCATTTGCAGCAGAGAAGGGGTTTCGCCATGTTGCCCAGGCTGGTCTCGGACTCCTGAGCTCCAGTGATGTGCCGGCCTTGGCTTCTCAGAGTGCTGGGATTACAGGTGTAGCCACTGTGCCCAGTCTCCTGTTGGATTTTGAGGGCACAGCTCAGTTGGTCTGAGTGATGGGGGAAGCCAGAGGGGCAGCTGTGCCCATGGTCCCCCCCCCGCCCCCCGCCCCAGGCAGACACTGACTTACACCTCCACAGTGTACTCAGCCAGGCTGTGAAGGAACCCGGGGTGGCCTGTCCCTGATTGGCATGACAGCCTCATTAGCGCTGCCTGGGCTGGCAGGGTGCTTAGGCATCAGGTGCCTAGCAGGAGCAAGCCTGGCCGCCAGGCACTAAGTGGGCCTGGCTCTGGGCAGCCTCTCAGTGGCAGAGCCAGAAGTGATGGTGGCTCATCACTTCTGGGGCCCACAGCTCCACGCTGGGTAGGGCTGCCTGGCACTGACCCAGGTGTGTGAGCTACGGGGGACTCTCGGGCCCCGGGGGAGGGCAACTGAAGGTGGGCACCTGGGCCAGGCTTCCTTGCAGGGAGGATTTGCAGGGCTCCCAGCCCCTCCCACCTCCACCTCAGGACCCCAGGCTCCTGCCCAGCCACCTGCCAGGGCCATGTTTCCTCTGGATCCCCAGCAAGGTTTCTGGCACAGAGCAGGTCCTTAATAAGTGCCTGAGGTTGTGGACTGTAGTTCTTTATTATTGAGATGGAGTCTCACTCTGTTGCCCAGGCTGGAGTGCAGTGGTACAATCTTGGCTCACTGCAGACTCTGCCTTCCAGGTTCAAGTGATTCTCCTGCCTCAGCTTCCAGAGTAGCAGGGATTGCAGGTACCCACCAACACGCCTGGCTAATTTTCATTTTTTAGTAGAGAGGGGTTTCACCATGTTGGCCAGGCTGGTCTCGAACTCCTGACCTAAGGTGTTTCACCCACCTCAGCCTCCCAAAGTGCTGGGATTGTAGGTGTGAGCCACCATGCCCAGCCATCTGGTTCTTTTTAAATTTATTTTAGAGACAGGGTCTTGCTTTGTGACCCAAGCTGGTGCTCTTGGCCAACGGCAGCCCCAGCCTCCTGGGCTCAGGTGATCTGCCTACGTTGGCCTCCTGACTAGCTGGAACCATAGCACAGGGACCCGAATTTTGTGTGAAGGGCTGGCTGAACCTCTGCCGATGGGTGCAGTCTCGTGCATGTGTGTGTGTGTGTGTGTGTGTGTGTGTGTGTGAAGGGCCACATGGACCAGGGTGGGCAAAGGTTGCCAGCAGGGTCACCTGCTGGGCCAGCCCTGGACCCTGGAATGCCACCCTGGATCCCAGCCAAGAGCCCAGTTTGTATGCTGCCCAAGGGAGGCTGTTTCCAGGGTCTTACACATTTCTTGCAGAAATACACAAATCACAAGGGCCTGCGGTGAGCTGGGGTGCTCTATCCCCCTCCCCACCCCTACCCCCGCCCCCACAGTGTTCTCAGACAACAGGGAGCAACCCTTCCCATCGACTCCCACAAAGCCCTGCGGCCACAACTCTGGAGATGCGACACACCCACTCACATGTGGTACTACTCGCCTGCCACCCTGACCTGGGCAGGCTGTACTGGGGACATTCAAAGCTGCTGCCACTCTGAGAGCTCACACCCCACCCTCGCTCTCTTCTGAACCCGGTGCGTCTGCCCGGCATGTACCTGAAGCCCGGGCTGAGGTCTGCACCTAGGACGGATGCCTTGTCCTGGTGGGCACTTGAGAGGGTGTTTGGGGTGGCAGTACCCCCAGCCCCCTGCTCCAGGGAGCAGCCAGCTGTGGCAGACCTCCTGGCTCCAGCTGGGCCCAGAGGGCAAAGAATACCTCCGCCATCAGCATCCCCTGGCGGCCTCCCCTGAGGCCTGAGCCTCAGCCTCCTCCCTCTCAGTGCTGGGCCAGCTAGAGAGAGAGATGTGGTGGGACCAGGAAGCCGTGCACCCCCACAGACCCCTGGTGCCCCCCTGCCCAGGCTTTCCTGAGAACTCTCAGGAAACTGTTCCCTTTCTGGGGTGCTGGGGGATGGGCTGCCCTGGCATTGGAGGCCCCCCCTTCCCCTCACTCAGTTGGCCCCTCTGGTGCTACAAGGGGAAGGACCCCAGTCCCCCATGCCTAGACCACTGATCCTGCATGCTAGAGCCCAGCCTGGGCTCCTGCTGGCACACCGTCTGCTGCCATGGTGACTGGCACGTGTTCCCGGCTGGGTGCCCTGCAACACTGATGCTGGTAGTGTGCGCTGGCACAGGCCTGCCTGTGTGCAGCTAGGGGAGAGGTGGCTCCCCGCCCTGCTGGCCTGGAGCCCTGGAAGCGGAGCCCTGGGGCTGCCCTGCGGCTGAGGACCACCAGCCCCCACAGGCCCCGCAGGCATCGAAGGAGCCCCCACCTTGGTGCCAGGCCGTGACTGCTGCCACTCCTGTAGGCATCTCTGTCCCCAGTGGCTCCCAGGGGCTCCGCCCTCCCCCTCATCCCCATGCCAGGCCCCCCGCCCAGGCTCTGCTGACCCCTGGTCCTGCAGCCAGGTGAGGCCCCCCTGCTGGGCACACCAGGCCTTGTGTCCTCACTCCTGGCCCCGAACCTGCTCCCAGGGCCCAGCCCCCCGTGCCACTCCTGAGCCCAGGCCCGCAGCCCAGCGGCCTCATGATTTTTTCATGGCTGAGCTATCGGCCTCGCCGAAGTTCCGCTTACACTGGCGAGGGGGCTGCACTGCTCTTTCTCCGGCCTGGGTTGGTTTACTGAGGCCAGGTTTAGGGTGACAGGCTCCATTGGCCAGACAGGGGGCAGGGCAGGGTTGAATGAAGAGCTTGGGGAGGGGCTCTCCAGCGTGGTCTCCTACCTGCTCAGAGGGACCCCCCCTGCCCTCCCATGCCCTCTGAGCAGGCCACTTCCTCAACTGCCGTTTGTTCGTTGCTGGCTGCTCCAGGCCTCCCCTTGGGACCGTCAGGGTGGAAAGCCCACACATCTTGAGCTTGAGCTCAAGAGTTGAAGACCAAATTGGGCAACATGGTGAAACCCTATTTCTTTTTCTTTTTTTTTTTTTTTTTTTTGAGACGGAGTTTCGCTCTTGTCACCCAGGCTGGAGTGCAATGGCGCGATCCCGGCTCACCGCAACCTCCGCCTCCTGGGTTCAGGCAATTTTCCTGCTTCAGCCTCCTCCTGAGTAGCTGGGATTACAGGCATGCACCACCATGCCCAGCTGATTTTTTGTATTTTTAGTAGAGACGAGGTTTCGCCATGTTGACCAGGATGGTCTTGATCTCTTGACCTCGTGATCCACCCGCCTCGGCCTCCCAAAGTGCTGGGATTACAGGCGTGAGCCACCGCGCCTGGCAAAACCCTATTTCTACTACAAACATTAGCCAGGTGTGGTGGCATGCACCTGTAGTCCTGGCTGCTGGGGGGTGAAGAGGGCTGAGGTGGGAAGATGTCTTGAGCCTGGGAGGTCGAGGCTACAGTGAGCCGAGACGGCCCCAAGGTACTACAGCCTGGTTGAAAGTAAGACACTGTCTCAAAAAAACTTTTTTTTTCCAAAAACAAAAGGTTAAAAACTATAATAAATAAAATGAAAAATTCCATTCAAGGGTTACAAGTCAAGGAAATATCCCAGAAAGTTTAAAAAAGAGAAGAAAAAACTAAATATTATAGAATCTAGAAGGTATAATACCCAATTGACAGAAATCCCAAAGCAGGAGAACAGAAAACAGAAGAAAAAGAAAAATTGTTAAAGAAATTAATACAGGAAAATCACTAAGAACAGGGCCCAGGAAGTGGCCAAGATAATGAATGCAAAAGCGTCACCAGGGACATTAAAGCCATTTTAGATGAGCGAGAAAAAGCCTGAAAGTTCTTAGAGAAACATAAAACAACCCGGACTCTGGCTCAGGAATCCAGAGACATTCATTTCTCAGCAGCAGCAGAGCCGGCAAGAGACAGGGCTAAGCCTTCAAAATCCAAGGCCAGTTCTCAACGTGAAATTCCCTCCCTCAGCAAGCTGCCGGTTCCAGGGGGCTGAGCTCAAGGTACCTGCAGATATGCAAACTCAACACTCACTTAGCGGCTCACCCAGAGGATGCCTTCTTCTAAGGACTAGAGAAAACTGGGCCTGGCGAGGTGCTGGGCACAGCTGACCTTCAGGAGAGCCCCAGGTGTTTTTGTGGGTCGGGGCCAGGCACAGGGGACTCCTGGGGATGATTCCCTCCTACAGATCAAGCAGACACATGGGTTGGGCAACCACTGTCCTTCCGTGGTCATGATGTGACCCCAGCATGTGATGTCGGATTAGATGAGGAAAATAATGCTCTCCTCCCTCAGGGCCACCTCCTGGGTCTGTCTTCTCCCACCGCAGCCCCTACCCCAGACTCACCACAGCCCCGGAAGAAGCGTGACTGCCCCGGTATAGGACTGGACACCCCCTGCCTGGCACTGCCCCCTTACTTTCCAGGAGCCAGTCCAGCCCCAAACAACCTGGACCCTTGGGGAACAACTCTGGGGAGGCCCCTGCCCGACCTGGCCCAGCCCTGGGAGAGCTGGAGAAGCCTCTGTCCCAACAGGCATGTGTGAGGCTGAGTGCCACCCCTCCAGCCCTGGAGCCACCTTTTCCTGCTGTGTGGCCTCCAACCAGCCTCTCCACCCCTCCCTTTCCGTTTCTGAGACCTGGCAGTTAGCAGGGGCAATCCACTGGGGGGAGCACAGTTCTGGAAAAACGTCCCACACCCAGGGCCAGAGTCCTCGTGCTGGGGTCCCTCTGCGGGCACCTTCTGTCCCTGGTCGCAGTAGGGACCCCGGACACCTGGGGTGAGTTGTGCAGGTCTGGCACTGAGTGGAGGACCGGACCACCCCATCATCCACTGCCCTGGGTGACCCCATCCCACCTTCCTGCATCAGCCTTGGCGGAGGTCAGCCCTGCCTCTGTCACTGTTGAAGGTGCTGTGGTGACTCAGTGGCTGGCTCCGACCAGTGACAGGAGGAGGGGTGGGCGTCCCTCTTGGCGCTCGGGGTGAGCCCCGGCTCCCGCAAGCTGGCAGGTGCGGCTTCTGAGGAACAGCAGGACCCATCTGGTGGCCCACGTGGGAATGACACCGGCTGGCCATTCTCAGCCCTCCCTCGGGGCCATGCCAGGGGCGCCACCTCCCGGCCCCAGGGGCGCATCCCCGCTGCCAGCCAGATGAAACCCAGGAGCACCCTGGGGCCAGGAAAAGCCAACCGTGGGGGAGGGGGCGCGGCAGCTCGGGGTGGCAGGTCAGGTGCTACGAGGCGGCTGAACCGCCATCCTGTACCAGGTGACGGCTGCAGCCCGGGGCTCACCTTGCCCGAAGGCAGACCCACTTTCCAAGTCCCGGCTTCCCAGACCAGGGCTGGTGGGGCACAATGCAGTTCTGTCCCCCAGCCAGCCCGCCCTACTGTGCCCACCCCCTCGGTGTGCTGGGGAAGGAGGGCTCTGTCAACGCGCGGGTACCGCGACCAAGTCTGGGGTGGACCCTGGCATCCTCCATTCTGCGCATACCAGAGGCAGCCTTTGGGCTACGGCGGTGGCCTCTGACCCTCGTCCCACCCTGACCCTTCTGTCTTTCGCGTGGCGAGGCCCTAACCTAGCCGCTCTGCAGAGCTCCTCAGGCAAACCGCAGGCCAGCGCAGGCGGTGCTGGATGGGTTAAACAGGCTTCCCCCACCCTGGTCTCCTGCACACTCTGGACGAGGCAGCCGCTCCCCGCCCTGCCTGCCGAGGAGAGCCCACCAGCTGGGGGGCAGAGAGTCAGTGAGGAAAGCCAGAAAAAGACTCCTCCCAGCCAGGCCTAGAGTCATGGCTCCTTCCACACTTTGGAGATAGGAAGCAGCTCCCAATCTGCCTGGCTTCGTCTCTCCCCTCCCTCCTCCAGGCCAGCAGCTCCTTCCTCTGCAGTCCACCCCTACTTGGGCTTCCTGCACATGCAGCTGCTGCGGGTAGGGGAGCTATGCCAGGTAGACGCACCAGCTTCACCATGGAGAACAAGGATGCTGTGCCCCAAGAACCAGTGCTCTAGGGCAGAGACGGTGACACAAGCTAATAATAGTCAATGGGAGCTCATGGGGGGGGTCGTGGGTGGCATGGGGGCCGCCAGTGGGAAGAGCTTTGGCGGCAGAGGAACAGCCAGGGGGTGCTGAGGGCGGGGAAGGGGTGGGAGACCTCCAGCATTGGAGGAAGGGCTTGGATTTTACCCCGGGGCAGCGGGGATTTGAACCCTGGGAAGCGACTGTGGAGGCCAAGGCCCTGGGAGTGGGAAGGGTCAGAGAACAGGCACTGCCAGGGCTGTGGCCTGGGAGGGTGGTTTCTGGCCTTAGCCCCGGGCAGGGGGTGGGGGCCCCTGGGTTTCGTCTTTGTTTCTGGCTCCTCCTCTGCAGTCTGTGACCTCAGCTAGGAACCACCCTAAGGGGAAACACAAGCTTCAGGCAGCGCTGCCTCTGGGGAGGAAGGGGTGGGGCTGGGGGGGCAGGAGCTCCTGGGGTGGGGCCCACAATGACCAGGTGGAGCCCAGACACTCCCCACTCCATGTGGCTCTGGAGGCCTGGGGAAAAAAGCCTTCTCCAGGCCCAGCAGAGGGTCACAGCCGGGCCTGGGGCAATGCCCTTGGAGAGGGTGAGGATTGGGTGCCCCAGTCTCAGGCCCGACACACAGAGGTGCTGAGCATGTCTTCTTTTTTTTTCTTTTTTTTTTTTATTGCATTTTAGGTTTGGGGTACAGGTGAAGAACATGCAAGATTGCTGCATAGGTACCCACATGGCGGTGTGATTTGCGGCCTTCCTCCCCCTCACCTGTATCTGGCATTTCTCCCCATGCTCTCTCTCCCCACCTCCCCACCCCCCAATTCCTCCCCCATTCCCACTGGGGTCTGTTGGGAGCATGTCTTACTCATCACTGAGAACTGAACCCTTGGGTGTCAGGCAAGAGGCCTGGGGGGTTTGCTGGGCCACCTGGCGACCTCCTCTCTCCAGACCTGTTGTCCACACAGGAGGACAAGCAGCCTCAGAGCCCTTGATGGGCCACACACCTGACAAGAAATGGGGTAGAGAGGTCACATGGCAGGCACAAGGGCTGAGCCGGGTCCAGAACCCAGGCGTCCGACTCCCAGCTCAGGGCTCTTCCTGGGCCTCCTTGGTTCCTGCTGCACAGCTGGGATGGGGGCCTCAGGTAAATGGCAAGGGGTTCCCGTCTCCAGAAGGCCTGGAGCAGCAGGAGCGGGCGGGCCAGGGCTGCAGCTGAGGGACTCTTGGCTTTAGTGTCTCTGTGCACCCCAGCCCCTAACCCTTGTGTGAAGTGCCCACACTGCCCCTCCAGAACCTTCTGACCTCCCAGGATGTGACCTTGCTTTTGGCTCACTACCCTGACCCAGGAGACTGCCTCAGTTTCCCTCCCTGCAAAATGGCACGGTCTGGGACTGTCCTCCGGTGGTGAGAATTAGATGTCATATGCAGAGACTTGGTCTGGCACATCTTAGCACCAGAGAGCAGCACCAGGCCACTCACAGCCACCTGCCCAGTGATTCTGCAGGGCGGGGGCGGCAGTATGGCCAGCTGAACCTCCTGGGCTTCAGTCTGTGCAGTGGGGCAGGAGAACCAAGCCCCGAGCTGGGCACCAGCCAGGAGACAGAAGTGCAGGACTCTGGCTGAGGTATTGGAAACCAGCCTTGCCCACCGGGACTGCCCGTAGGACCACTGTTCCTGAAGAGATGGAGCCCGCCCAGGCCCGGGAAAGAGCTTCAGGAAACAGGACCATCACCTGCACTTCGTCTGTCCGAAAGGCTGCAAGAGAACAGGGAAGTGGGCTGACAGCAGGTAAGCTTTGGTTTCCTGGGATTTCTTTAAATTAGCTTTCTATTATGGGATAACTTTAGAATTACAGAAAAGGAAGTTTCCCCAGTGTTCCGTTCCCAGTGCCCCTAACACTGGCATCTTACAGGGTCATGGGACAACGGCTGTAACTGACGAATTAACTTTGGTATTTACGGCCAAACTCGAGGCTTTGGGGTTTGCTGGTTTTCCTTCTTCCGTTCAGGGTCTGTCGTTTTATTTACTGGGAAAAGATAAGACATTCCAGGCTGGGTAAGGTGGCTCATGCCTGTAATCCCGGCACTTTTGAAGGCCTAGGTGGGCGGATCACTTGAGGTCAGGAGTTCCAGACTGCCCAGGAAAGCCTGTCTCTACCAAAAATGCAAAAATTAGCCAGGTGTGGTGGTGCGTCCATGTAGTCTTAGCTACTTGGGAGGCCGAGACAGAGGCTGCACTCCAGCCTGGGCGACAGAGGGAGGGAAAGAAGGAAAGAAAGGCAAGACGTTCCAGGCAGGTGGAGTGACAGAGACAAAGGCCACGGCTGGGGGCCCAGGCCTAAGCCCGTGTCTGACTAGTAGCAGGTCTTGGCCAGGTGGGAGGCGGTGGGGGCTGGGGGGGGATGTCAACAGTGTGGAGCTGACCCGGTGTAGAGGGAAGTACAGGGCAAGGGCTTCCTTGTGGCGGGGCAGCGCCAGGCCGTGGGGGGCGCAGGCCCTGGGTTAAGGCTCAGCTCTGCCACACCTCCCCGCTCAGGCCACCTCCCTGGGCCACTGTTCCCATATCCACCAAATGGGCCGAAATTGAAACAAGACGTAACAAGGTCATAATAAAAAACAACTTTTCACATTGCTGATAGTTAAAAAAAAAAAAAAAAAAAGCCACCAAAGCCAGCCCTGAACTAGGTAAGAAGAATCACACCGGTTCTCTGAGCCCCAAGCCTGCGCCCCTGAAATGTGAAGGACACACCCACCTCTGGCGGAAGCGCAGCTCCGGGGGCCGCCCGCTCCCCCCAGCTCCGTCCGTGCAGTCGCCCTTCGGCTCCAGCTCCAGAAGAGTGGCGGCCGCCCTGTGCCACCCAATGCCCAGAGCAGAGCCCAGGACGGCCCCGGAGCGACCTTGGGCGAGGCGCAGCCGCAAAACAGAGAAATCCCAGCGCGCGCTGCAGCCCCCCGTGTCCCGCGGGCTCCAGGCCTCGCCCGCCCGCTCCGGCCGCCCGCGCGCCTCCCGGGCAGCAGCCCGGGGCCCCCCGCCGCCCTCCGCTCGGGACTCCTCAGGCTCCGAGGCCCCCCACGCCCGGCTCCCGCCCTGCCCCCTCGGAGGCGCCGAGCCGCTCCCCGCGCCCGGGGGCTGCTCCGCCGCCGCCACTTTGTCCCGCGCGCCAATCGGCGGCCTCCTTGACTAAATAAGGCCAGGAGCGCCCCCCGTCCGTTACTTCCGCCCCCCGCCCGCCGTGACTCAGGCCCCGCGGCGGGCGGGGACGGCGCTGCCCAGGGCCGGGCTTCCCGGCGGGGCGGGCGGGGCTCCGGCAGCGCCGAAATCGCCAAATATGGCCGCGCCGCCGCCCTCCGCCGCGCACCTGGGCCGCACCTTTGCCCCCGCCGCGTGACGCGACCGCGGAAGAGGAAGTCGCTCCCCGGCCCGGCCCGCGGCGGCGCCCACTCCCCGCGGCTCGGGCCGTGCGGGGGGCGGGGAGGCCAAGGGTCCGGCGGCCCCGGGTCCGCGACGTGGGAGGAAGGGGGTCGCGCCCGGGGCCCGCGCCTTTCCGCACCTCCCAGACAAAGGAGCTTGGGAGGCGGCGGAGGCCCGGAGGGGCAGGGTCCCCAGCCGGCGCCGAGCGGAACGCGGGGAGCGCGGACGCAGGGCGGAGGGGCCTGTGGCTACCGCCCGCCCGCCCGCGTCCCTCGGCGTGCGGCGTCGCATGTTGGGACCCCCAAGGGGAAGTCCCCGCCTGGGGGTCGAGCACGCTGCGGTCTTTCGCCCAGGGACGCGAATCCCGGTGTGCTTGTTGGGGGCCCAGCCCCGGTTTCGCCCCGGGAGGGCACACACCGGAGAGGCTTGCCGGGGCCCCCGGAGTCTGTGCCTGGGGGGGCTCAGCACCCCCGGGGGGCCGGGGACGCGGGGGCCTCAGGCGCAGGTCTCGGGGTCCGGGGTGACTGCGGCCCGCGGGTGAGCCGGGCCGGCCGCCGGGCCCTGACTCGCCGTCCTCCCTCCCAAACACGGGCTCTGGAGCTCAGAGCGCGGGACTCCGCGTGGGGACCCCGGCCCCGCCCCCCAGCCCGTCGAGTCCAGCCGAGCGGCCCGCGACCTCGGCCGGTCGTCGCCCCACTGCCCCTCCGTGGCCGGCGCCCTCGCCCTGAACATTCCTCAGCGCGCACGGAAGCCGTGGCGCCGGGAGCCCCTCGGGGCGTGAGCGGAGCACCCGCGCCGGCAGGTGCGGCCGGGCGCGTGCCGGGCATGACGGGTCCTCCCGCGGAGTCTCCCGGCGGGGCGTGCGCGCCCCGGACCCGCCGCTGCCCAGACCCACGCGGCCCCGAGCCCTGCCCTTAGCTGGCCTCGGAAACAGAGGAGGGGACCCCCCGGCCTCCCCGGACTGGAGGGCCGACCTTCAAGAAAGTCAGGGTTCCGGCCTCTACCTCGGTTTCCCTGCAACGTGTGCAGGTGACCAGCACGAGACAAAGGCCTCGCTGCGCAGCGCCTCCTCGGCGGATAAGGGGGCGGGGTAGCCCCGACCCGAGCGTGCGCCTGCGGACAATCGGGCCTGTGATTTGGGGGACAGGGCTGTGTCGGCCCGGGAAGAAAGGGGCATCGGTCTCCACACCCACCGAGACCCGGGGCGGGGCGCCCCGCGGACGGAACTGTGGGGTGGCGGCGGCGCCGGCGCCGGGAGGCTCCCGCCTACGGTGACCGGGGAGAGCTGAGGGCGCCCCCGCGCCCGGGAACGCCGAGCGCCGGGGACCCCCGCCGCGCCCCTCCCCCGGCCCGGCGCGGGCGCGGAGCCCGAGGGGAAAGCCCGCAGGGGACGTCCCCGGGAGCGAAGCCCCGCAGCGTGGCCCGGACCGCGGGGACCCACCCCAGCTCCCGCACGGCCCCGCCCCGGGCCCGGCAGTTTCGGGGCGCAGCCTCGCCCTCCCCACGGCGCGGCAGTCCCGGGGCGCGGCCGGGCCCGTCAGCCCCTCGGCCTCCCCGGCGACCCCGAGAGGGCGCCCCCACCCAGCCCCGCCCCCAGCCCGCCAGCCCGCGCAGGGTCGCGAGCGCGCGGGGGTGGCGCGGGCGGGGCCGTTGGGAGGCGGCGCGGGCTGGGGGCGGGGCGGCCCGGGGCCCCACGTGACCCGGCCGGGCGGGCCAATGAGAGCCCGGCTTTCGGAAAGATCGCCATATATGGACATGTTCTGGGGCCGCGCGCGCCGCCGGGCCGCGCGGGCGCGCCGCTCCCTCTTAAAAAGCGGCGGGGGAGGCCGCGGTCGGTCTCAGTCGCCGCCGCCAGCCCGCGTCCGCTCTCGTCTCGCCGCTCCGCCGCCCTCCGCCGCCGCCGGTAAGCGCCCCTGCCCGGACCCGAGGGGGACGTCTCTGCCCGGCGCCCCTCGACCCCGGCGCGCCCCGCTTTCCGCCGCCGAGGTCTCGCCGCGTCGTTTTCCGGAGCCCACGGCGGGCCGCGGCTGGGAGTCCCGCGGACGGGGTCGGGCGGGCGCCGCGGCTCGGGGCTCAGGGCGGGGCCCGGCCGCAGTGCGCGGTCCCGGGCGGCGGGCGTTACGTAAAGGGCCCGGGCGGCGGCTCCCGGCGGTTGCGGCGGAGCTCGAGGCTGCGCCGCGGGAGGGTCTTGGGGGGCCCTCGGCGGGGGCGCCGCTCCCGAGCGGGGCTCGCCTGAGTCCGTCGCTTTCCCGCAGGTCGCAATGGAAGAAGAAATCGCCGCGCTCGTCATCGACAACGGCTCCGGCATGTGCAAGGCGGGCTTTGCCGGGGACGACGCCCCGCGAGCCGTGTTTCCCTCCATCGTCGGGCGCCCTCGGCACCAGGTGAGGGGGGGGCGCCGCGGGGCTCCTGGGCTCCGCTGCGCGGGGCGGGCTCGGGGGCCGCGGCGAGCCTGACGGCCGCTCCCCGCAGGGCGTGATGGTCGGCATGGGCCAGAAGGACTCGTACGTGGGCGACGAGGCCCAGAGCAAGCGCGGCATCCTGACCCTCAAGTACCCGATCGAGCACGGCATCGTCACCAACTGGGACGACATGGAGAAGATCTGGCACCACACCTTCTACAACGAGCTGCGCGTGGCCCCCGAGGAGCACCCCGTGCTGCTGACCGAGGCCCCCCTGAACCCCAAGGCCAACAGAGAGAAGATGACGCAGGTGAGGCTCGGCGCTGCCCGCGCGCTCGTGCGTTTTCCTGCTCATTTTCTGCCCGCCTTGGTTTCTGACATTCAAGTGTTTCTTTCGCTGTTCCAGGCTCTGTTCCTCTCCCGGCATTTCCTCCCTGAAGCCTCCAGGTTTCTCACTTGGTTTCTGCCTGCGTTCTGTTCTTTCCTCCACACATCACACTGGCATGCGGCATGTTGTGGCGTGTGAGCATGGGGTGGCGGCGGGTCCTTGCCCCGGCTGAACGGTCCGTCTTCCCCTCCCTGCAGATCATGTTCGAGACCTTCAACACCCCGGCCATGTACGTGGCCATCCAGGCCGTGCTGTCCCTCTACGCCTCTGGGCGCACCACCGGCATCGTCATGGACTCTGGAGACGGCGTCACCCACACGGTGCCCATCTACGAGGGCTATGCCCTTCCCCACGCTATCCTGCGTCTGGACCTGGCTGGCCGGGACCTGACCGACTACCTCATGAAGATCCTCACCGAGCGCGGCTACAGCTTCACCACCACGGCCGAGCGGGAGATCGTACGCGACATCAAGGAGAAGCTGTGCTATGTCGCTCTGGACTTCGAGCAGGAGATGGCCACAGCCGCGTCGTCCTCCTCTCTGGAGAAGAGCTATGAGCTGCCCGACGGCCAGGTCATCACCATTGGTAACGAGCGGTTCCGGTGTCCGGAGGCGCTGTTCCAGCCTTCTTTTCTCGGTAGGTGTTGTGAGTCTAAGGGTTTCTGCTCTTTGATTCTGAGCGACACAGCACCACTAAGGGAGGGCTTTGTCCCCTAGGCATGGAATCTTGCGGCATCCACGAGACCACCTTCAACTCCATCATGAAGTGTGACGTGGACATCCGTAAAGACCTGTACGCCAACACTGTGCTGTCTGGCGGCACCACCATGTACCCAGGTATCGCCGACAGGATGCAGAAGGAGATCACTGCCCTGGCACCCAGCACCATGAAGATCAAGGTGAGTTTGAGGGGTCGGTGGCGCTCGCCCTGGCTCAGGATACCTGGCTGGGGATGCTGTGTGAACTCAAGGCATGCCTGGCTCTGTCTTTGCAGATCATTGCACCCCCAGAGCGTAAGTACTCCGTGTGGATCGGCGGCTCCATCCTGGCTTCACTGTCCACTTTCCAGCAGATGTGGATTAGCAAGCAGGAGTACGACGAGTCTGGTCCCTCCATCGTCCACCGCAAATGCTTCTAAATGGACTGCGAGCAGATGCGTAGCATTTGCTGCATGGGTTAATTCGGAAGTATAAATTTGCCTCTGGCAAATGCATACACCTCATGCTAGCCTCATGAAACTGGAATAAGCCTTCGAAAAGAAATTGTCCTTGAAGCTTGTATCTGATATCAGCACTGGATTGTAGAACTTGTTGCTGATTTTGACCTTGTATTCAAGTTAACTGTTCCCCTTGTTATTTGTTTAGTGCCCTGTACAATATCTTTGATTTCAACTTCAGTACATGTGGCTTGGTCACTTTGTGGCTGAGGTAAAAACGTGCTTGTGGGCAGACGGGTCTGGCTTGGTGAGTCTGCATGGCCAGCAGTCTTCTATCTGTGCAGGGTATTGATGTGTCAGGGCTGAGTGTTCTGGGATCGCTCTAGAGGCTGGCAAGGGCTGCCAGTCTGCCAGGGTTGGAAAGTCCAAGCCATGGGACCCGGTTTCCTTTCTGAGCTGTTTTCCTGCCAGAGCACCGTGGGCTGTGACTTGCCTTGAGTTGGAAGCGGTTTGCGTTTACACCTGTTGTAAATGTACTCATCCTTTTAATTTATGTAAGTTTTTTTTGTACGCAATTCTCGATTCTTTAAAGAGATGACAACAAATTTTGGTTTTCTACTGTTATGTGAGAACAACAGACCCCAGCAACACGTCATTGTGTAAGGAAAAATAAAAGTGCTGCCGTAACCGACTGGCTCCTGTGTGGGGAAGTAGCGGGTGTGCTGGAAAAGGCGGCCCTGGAGAGGTTGGGCATTCGGGGGTGGGCGCTGCTGTGCTTGGCTTCATGAGCTGGTGAGAAAGCTGCTTACGGTCATTTTTGAACAACAGCTGGGGTTCTTCCAAGCTGGAAGTGTGAGAAGGTCTGATGTTTGGGTATCGAGGCATTACTGAGGCAGCATCACAAGGCAAAGCCCGCAGGTGCTGATAGCTTGGCATGCCCGCTAGGGAGGGAGGTCCCCAGATGGCTTTTTGGGGTGGTTTTGGGAAAAACTAGACTTGGTGACATGGGGTAAATATTTGGCATAGAAACTGCTAGGAACCACCTGAATCAGCAGGGACCTTTCTAATAGTTTCCCCCAACTCTCAGGTGGATGTGGTGCATGAGATAGCTTTGCTTCGGCTGGATCAGAATGCAGCAGTCACGGAGCTGGCTAATTAGTGAATCCTGGAACTCTACCTGCCAGTAACGGGGTCCTCACCTGGTGTAAGTGGCTTGGCAAATGCCCTTCAAAATGAACCTTGGTACTTAGAGCTTTTCTCTGGCAGATGCCAGGGGAGAGCCTGAATCTGATCTTGCATTCAAGCTAGCGGTACGTGCCCTGGATGGGATTGGGAATCCAATGCGCACCTTGCTCTAAACTGCGTTACAGCTAGTTACAGCTACGGAATAGTTATTTGGAGGTTGGGTCAGGGAAGTGAGATCTCTACTAACTGAAAAGATTTGGAAGTTTTGCCACAGGGAATGTTTCCTGTTCCATCTGGTCAAGGGATTGTTTCTGCTGTTGCAAAGCAGATTTCTCCCAAGCAGGGGCAGTGGTGCTTCCTGGCTCCTCCTCTGGTGAGGGGAGGGGGCTTCACAGTCCAGAATGAGGGAGAGGGTGGGGCGGGGCGGGGGTGGAGGCAGGCATGACAATTCAAGGAGCTTGCTGAGCTCCGGACTCCCACCCTGCTTTGTTCTGTGACCTTACGTCACAGCATGATTCTCAGCAACTCTGACACCTGCAAAAAACAAATTCTCTGTCCTGTGAAGCATTGTACTTTGAGCCACGACAAACATCCTCATGAATACTGGGCATCAGCAAATACACATTAAGACACTTTTTTTTTTTGAGGCAGAGTTTCACTCTTGTTACCCAGGCTGGAGTGCAATGGCACGATCTTG